AAATTTGCACATTTTCTTTATCAACATATATGCAATTTTGAAGCTTTTAATTTGGAAACAAACTTACTTTTGCATTAACACTGAATGTGGAATAACCAAATTACACAGGAGCAAGTCAATTTTAAATAAAACACATCAGTGGTATTCATTACTTGTGGTATATTCAGCATTTTTAAAATCAATTCAGGATTTATGCATTCTTGTTGTTTATTCATTTTTGTTATTTTTACTCTCCTTTTTTTCGCCTGTAATAAGTGTAATCGCTGCTGTGACATCTATCTTTCCCCACTGAGGAACTATGAAGAGATTTTCAATTCTATTCATCTATCTGCAGCTCTTCCACTTCCTGTTTTACTGCAGGTTAAATCTTTTCTCACGGGCCAACAACAAAATAAAAATATCATTTTATCTTAAATGAAAATGCAACATCTCACCTGTTAACTTTCATGTTTTGAGCAGAAAAAGAGCATAAAACCAAAATATTTAAAGCTCAGTTTGCTCCACTGATTTACTGTGATGCTCACCTGTTCCAGCCAGATACCTGCCTGAGCTGAGGAGGAGACTCCTGTTGTTTTGTTCATCTTCATCATAATAATGACAACATTAGATGGCAACAGGTGCTCACATAGGTTTGTGCCGCTGAACATGGAGAGCGTTTGAGCAGCTTGACCATGTTGTTGTGTGCCAGTATCGCTGCTCGCTGGAGTTATATCAGCTCTGTCTGGAAGTTAGTTGGAAAACTTTCTCTTTCAGTCGTGAACACATCACTGAGCGGTTAAAATCTCCGTTTCTTGGCTTAAACGTCGGTAAATAGCTGAGTGAACTCGGCGCTGAGTGAGAGGAGTGTTTAGTTTGTCTGAGACAGCGGAGCTGCAGACACCGGCAGCAGACACTGGAAAAAACACAAAGGAGGGGCGCTTTGGCTCCCGCTAATGTAGCAAAGCATCATGGGAGTTGTGGTCTTTGCAGTAAAATCGGCCAGCGGGTCAGTTTTAAGATATTTTTTATATTTATCTCGTGGGCCACATAAAAAAATCTCTGCGGGCCACATGTGGGAGACGGTGGCACAGGGGTTAAGTGCTCGCCCCGTAATTGGAAGGTTGCAGGTTCGAGCCCCGCTCAGTCTGTTGCTGCCGTTGTGTCCTTGGGCAAGACACTTAACCCACGTTGCCTGCTGGTGGTGGTCAGAGGAACCGGTGGCGACAGTGCTCAGCAGCCTCGCCTCTGTCAGTGCGCCCCAGGGCAGCTGTGGCTACAATGTAGCTCATCCCCACCAGTGTTTGAATGTGTGTGTGAATGGGTGAATGACTGATTGTGTTGTAAAGGGCCTTGGGGGGTTCCAGGACTCTAGAAGGCGCTATATCAAATTTAAGCCGTTTACCATTTACCATATTTCTCTCACGGGCCACATAAAAATTATCGCGGGCCTTGTGTCTGACACATGTGATTTAAAGGCTGATTAGTACATTAGGGTTTTTAGTTTTGATTTAAACAACACTGGGGTTGGGGCAGAAGTGAGGTCATGGGCAAGCTGATTCCATATGTGAGCAGCATAGTAACTAAATGCATCTCCACCATGTTTTGTTCTGACCCGTGGTTCTACCAGCTGATTGTTTCCAAGGGATCTCAGAGCTCTATTGGGTGTATATACAGGAATGAGATCTGACATGTATTTTGGTCCCATGCCACTGAGTGATTTGTAAACTAGTAGGAGCACTTTGAAATCCATTCTGTAGTTTACTGGTGACCAGTGTAGACATCTAAGAACAGGAGTGATGCGCTCTGTTCTCGTAGTTCAGCAGCATTCTGAACAAGCTGCAGTTGCTTCACAGTTTTTTTGGAAAGACCAGTTAGGAGACCATTGCAGTGGTCACTTTGATTGGTAATCCCTAATAGAGACAACATAGCCCCTGTCTTTGAGATAGGATTGGAACCAGCCAAGCACTGTGCCTGATAGTCCCACCCAGTTTGTGAGTCTGTCCAAAAGGATGTTATGGTCCACAGTATCAAAAGCTTGTTTTATTTCAAATCTGTCTCATTTTCATCCATTAAAAATACTTGCTTGTAATAAAAGCCCTGCATTTTCCTGAGAAAAGAATGATAGAAAACTGCTTCACCATGGTGTAGGAGCAAAAGCAGGTGGAGGGAAAGCATTAAGACAATGTGGGAAGATTATTACCAGCCTCTCTTATGTGTACTGCAATTTTCTTCCTCCAGAATACTTTTACTCAGCTATTTTATTAAACGCTTCTTGGTCGATTAGTTCTTTTTATAATCTCACAACGAGGCTTAGACACAGAAGAACTGTTGAAACCTTTGGGCTGTGATCTGAGGCCATCTGAAGCTATGGCTTTGCTATGGGCCATTATACCCTGGCTCTTTTGATGCCCAGGCCCAACAAAGCCACAATATTATAGTACTAAACTCAGAGCTCACTGAGATGTTTATTATTCCCAACACATAGGACATTGTCATCTGTGATACATGATAGTACTCTATTCAACACCTGCCCCTTTCATGGCAAATTGCACCCCATGAAATCGTCTAGAGTTCATTATTTTGAATTAGGCTTCAGTGGCAGTGCAGCACTCTTGGAAGGCATTGGTACCTCGATCACATTAGCTGAGATTGGCAGAGGCCCGATGGTGAGGAGGCTTTCAGGTAGATATTTTTACAATTACACTGGATTTGTTGGATTTAAGTCACTGAGGATGTCTTATTATTTGACATGCAAAACACTCAGTAATCAAGATGTGTGCAAGCAGCAATAAATAGACATGGCACTGTACTTTTTGAGCATAACAAGAAGTAATTTTCTATAATGTCCGGGGTGAGAGTAACATGTCTTTGTTGGTTTCTTGATATAATTAACATTTTTCTGACCGTGTTTAGGTTTTAATTGATGCTTTTACTCTGGGTTTTTTTTCTCTGTGAACTTTTAGAGCACTACTTACAAGTTATCAAACTTAGCAAGTTCACTGAGAAACTTTACTTATTTCTGATTATAATCACTCTGAGTTTTCCATTCTGACTGAACATGAAAACAATCTCCTACCACTATTTCCTGCATTAGTTTCTGATAGAAAGTGGAAGGTGACGTCTCAGCATAAATGAGTAAATGTTTTAGAAAACATTTAGTTTCCTTCATAATCAACATTTTCTATGAGATACCGATTATGGGTAATGAACGGTGGTGAAGGCCTGTTAATTTGAAATTTGCTGTTGAGACTATTGGGGTGTAATGGATTTGTTAGGAAAATCCAATTTTTATGTGCACAAATGAGCAAATCTTGTTTGCAACCAATGGCCCACATTTGTGGGAGTATTTTGTAGCATGGTCATCAGTTTCTGTCAGATGATGTATCGGGTGCTGCAGCGTTGCACCATGGGATAGCTGAGTGTATAAACAATGAAAACATTGGTCGCTTTGTGAGCTTATTAACCTGCAGAAAATGGTACACTCAAACTGTGTGAAGGGCTGCCATGCCAGGTCACACAATTACATAAGATGTAGTGTCTGTGCCTAAAATTTTTTGTTATTCATCCTGTTAGTGGTTTTACTTCCCATAATAGTTGAGCAGTTGGAATTACCCTGAAGCATGCAGGTGAGAACATCGCGCTGATGAACACTTGTGGGGAATTCTGAAGCAGCCCGCTGAGCATCACTCTCCATCCAGCATCCAGGCTCTAAATGAGGTTATTCTTGAAGAATGGAAAAAGATAGATGTCGCAATATGTCGCCAACTTGTTCATTCTATATCTAGAAGACTTGGTGCTGTCTTTGAAAATCACAGTGGTCATTCAAAATACTAGATGTAGTAGTTTTTGTTGCGAGGCGTATTTAATTTTGCTTCACCCAATTTGAATAAAACTGAAGATTTTGTGATCCAAGTTATATTATTAACCTTAGTTTCATGTTATGGAGTTAAACAAGTATTCAATAAAACCCAGCCTTGTGAAAAGTCTGGAAATTGTTCTAAATTTGTACTTTTTAAAGGGGATGTACTCATTTATGCTGGGAGCACGGCACATCGCACACCCATCTTGGCTCACGACAGGGAAGGTCGCTGTTGGTTTAGCATCCAGGAAACAGCAGAGAACGTTTTGACTAGTAGAAGCTAACCTTTAGCATTAGCAATGCCACCACACAGCAGAACTCCTTCAGGCTTGTGTTATTTGTGGAGATAAAACATCAACGTTGCAGAGCAAACGGTCAGTAGTAGAGTTGTGCGATTGTTAAACAATCAAAGGCAAGATATTTGAATATCATTAATACTGATGGCTCCAATATTCCAAATCCTGCAGTTTTTTCCCCACTCTCCTCCGGCTAACTTCTACTTCCTGGAACAGGAGAACCCCTGTGCACACATGGGTTCTCTCTGGGTGCTCCAGCTTCCTCCCAAAGTCCAAAAATATGACTCTTTGATTGGATTCTCTAAATTGTTCCTAGGTGACTGTGTGTGTGTGTGTGTGTGTGTGTGTGTGTGTGTGTGTGTGTGTGTGTGTGTGTGTGTGTGTGTGTGCGTGCGTGCGTGCGTGCGTGTGTGTGTCTACATGGTTGGTTGTCCTGTGTTGCCCTGCGATGGACAGGCAACCTGCCCAGTGTGTTGAGCACCAGCCCACCGCGACCCTACATGGGTAAGCGGGTGTAATGGATGGATTATTTTATGGATCTTAAACACTATTAAAAAACTCTTTCTAAGACTTTTCTTTGGAATGCAAATGATATTTCAAACTAGAAAATCTGTGAAGAATACCTAATATAAGCTTCATTAACACATCAAAATGAAAGGATATTTAATTTTGGTTTTGCTGAAGAAGAAAAATAGCTCTATTTCACTTCTATCAACATAATGTGCTTAATATATACACGTAGAAAAAATAAAATGCTAATTACCTGTCAAATGCTTTCATACACAAACAAAAGAATCTGGATTTTGTACTGAACTGACTGCATGGTATTAAAGTTCCCCGTTTGCTTTGTTCTCTTTGTTTTGCAGGTCTCGTAACAGCCAGAGTCATCCAAACCAGGGAGTGACTGAGTTTTCCACTGATCCTGGATGAATTTGCTATTATTCGCTCCCTGCTTCCTCTGACTTGCATTTCGGGGTTTCTGACTGCTCCCTCCTGCTGTCTGTCACCAGGTCAACATGTTGCGCCCTCCTCCTCCTCGTCACTGCGTCCGCCTGCTCTGTGATTTCAGCAGCGCCTGCTCATGCCACGGAGGATTGGACACCTTCAAGCTCCATGAATGGTTTCTGTCATTGGATGTCCTCTTGTAGGAGCTGCTAGCTGCATTAAATAAGTAATTCCTCACATCTTTACCAAGTGCAGTAGTTCCAGAGCATAGCTGGGATCATTACAGACCAAACTCTGTTGCTACGGACCACCTCACGAGGTCGTTACGAAAAAGAAAACAAACTGTGTGCTCTCAGCTGTGAATAGGCCTTCTGCTGGAGTAAAACTGTTATTTTTATAGACCAAAGATCAAAATGACTAATATGATTACGATGGCCGAGGATCAGCTGGTAAAAGACAGAACATCTTAATATTCCTCATGCGTTGCCACCACCAAGGCTGTCCTCACAAAAACATGGTGCACAAGTGGACGACGCAACCTTTTGCAACTGATGGCATATGTACACAATCAGTGGAGTGCTTTTAAAACCTTTCAGACTTTTTTTTCTCAAACTATAGGTCCACAAATGTACTTCAGAACTGCAAAAATAGGTACTGCAATGTATAACTGTATTGAAAAAAGGAGAAAAATGTCAGATGTGAGATTTTCAGTAGCTATGGTTTGGACTGCTTAAAGGAAGAAACGTGAAATGGGTCAAGGAAATCATATCACAGAAATGATCGATATCTACAGAGTACGAATGGTGGAGTAAAGAATTGCCATTAAATGTATTTTGAAAGGCCCTAAAAAGTTATATATTTAACAGTTTTATATGTTGTACCTTTGTAGAGAAGCTTATTGGACTTAAATGTGGTCACAATGGCAGTTTAGTAGAAAGTGAACAAATGCTGTTCTCATTACTGCTGGCTCGTTGTCTCTGGTTTTCGGTTCACACCTCAGTAGCTGCTTTCTTTTCATAGTCATCTCTAAGTCAGTCTATTAGAACCATCCACGAAAAAAGGAAAGTGACACAATTTACTGAGGACTGATCTGCAGCCAACAGAATATTGTAAATCTATGGTAGTCAGTGGAAGCCATTGAAATCTGCTAATTTGCTATGATATTGTATTGTACACGATGTGGAATACTTATTCATTTCCTCTCTCTGAGTTTGAGCTCTTAATTTATTTTTGTGCTTGTGTTTGTTCGCACAAATCGGCCGCTCTCCGACAGCAATGGAGACAACGAGGAGAGCGAGAGAAATAGCACTGCAAACATAGTCATATAAATACATTTTTTATCATGAAATATTTTAAGAATAAATTAAATACATGAAATGACTTGTCCTCTGGGAATTTAGATGTTTTGGGTGTTCAAGGTCAACGGAACACATTTGAAGTCCTTTTTTCCTGCTGCTATTTTTTTATCGGCCTAATCACTTTTGGAATAAAGTACTTAAAGTTGCACTAGATATAATCATCATGAAACCTATTTTAGACATGCTTTTTTCCATGATTTTGAGAACAACTGAACTTGTCATGTTTTTGTTTGATTTCTTGCAATTTGCCAGGTGTGACATCATCAAGAGCTGAATGTAGCATCATAAACATTTCTACTAAAGTGTTACCAACATTCCCAGTGCAGATTGGATTCTACCAGGACTACCTCTGATTTCTAGTGTTCATGAACAAGACTTCAAGGTGTGGAGAGTGTCTGTCTGGTTTAGGACCTTCAGGTTCTCATCTCTGCTTTATGCAGATGATGTGATTCTGTTGGAATTTTCAACGTCTGCTTAAGTGGCTCACAGCCCAGATACGGTTCAAGTCTGAGTTGAAAGGGAGTTCCTGCCTCAAGCAAAGATGATGTAAGTGTCTTGGTGTCTTGTTCATAAGTGATGGTAAGATGAGCCAACTGGGTTTTCATCTTCAGCAAAGAGGACATTGCTCTGGTCTGTTAGAGAAGGAGCTGTGGTAAAAGACCTACAAAAGGTCACCTACTGGTCCATCTACCTTTTTACTCTCACCTATGGTCATGAGATTTGGATCAAAACCAAAATAAACAAGATCTCAGATACAAGTGCCTGAAATTATATTTCTTCAATGGATGATTGGGCTCACTTGTGGGAAGCTCAGAGAGCTACTCCAGATCTGAAGAAGTCAGCTGAGATGAATCAAACATGACTAGGATGCTTCCTGGTTAACCTGCAAGCACTGGTAAGGGCCCATGTTCTCACTGGCCAGGAAATGTGTTGGGATTCTCCAGATGGACCTGGACAGTGTATCCAGTCTCCTCTTTACTTCTTGAACTTTGATAATTAGTGGGAAAAGATTGGATTGCTGAGCTCACATAAACAAGTATGCACATAAATACAAAAAGTACACTGTGTAACTGTTTCTCACAGCTAAAACTGAAACAATGGTTAAAGGTATGACTTTTTCTTCTAGGTGGATCATCTGAACCATTGGTCCGCATAACTGTCAGTCATTCTGGTGAAGCTTTCACGCAAAGCCGTCGTCATACGTGCTCGTTCTTGGGTTAGTTTTCACTTCCTGCGCATGCACATTCCACACCGTTCTCACTGGGTTCTTTTGAAAATAACAGAGTCGCAAGAGAAAAGGTATCTTCAAAGTCTATAATAAGAAGAGAAAGGCCTCTGGAGTGAGAAATAAGACCAGAGTTTTTTTAAGAGACTCTTCTCAACAATGGCGTGAGTTAAAAGTGAAAGTTGGGCTCCCCACAGACGCCTCTTTTACTGGTTTTCTGATCAAAATGTAAGCTAAAGTTTAGCATGCTATTTGGAAAAATTCTTTTCAGATTACTGCAAGAAGAAGTGCTGCAAGGCCGGCAGCTACTTGTAAACAGAACGTGCACGAGGATAGCTGGGCGTTCTCTCTGATATTTTTCTAAACGGAGAGAAGGTGGTTATTTCCTGAAATTCAGAAACATCCTCTGCCATACCTTTGAGCTGAAGTACCACTTTGTTTTTCCAACTCCTTTTTACTACAAGCCACATTTGTAATGCTGGTAAATGTGTGGGTTACAGTTTCCAACACTGATGTTGGTGACATTCAAGACAAAATGCTGGTGATTTGTACCATGGTGCAAATAAACTGAGAAGTCAGAGGTAAGCGGAAGTTCTGTATAATATATATACACAGTAGTTGCTGACAAAAGTCTTGTCGCTTGTGTATGTTGTAGAAACTCTTGCTATTAACCTGACTTTTAATTGATCAATTGGTGTTAGAAATAGCTCATTTGAAAAGCTAGAGCCCTCCGAAATAATGTTAAATATCTGGAAAAAAAATAATTTAGCTGAATAATGATGTATCATTTAATCAAGACAGAAAGGTCCAAATCTGGCAAGACAAAAGTGTCACTTATACAGAAAAAGATTGACTTTACAGCAAGTCCAAAAATATATCAGCACATGAAATAGTGGAGCTGTGAGATCCAAATTTAATAATTTGTATGACTTGCATGAGCTTGAAGGACAGCATTCATGCGGTTTGGCAAGGGTTCATACAATTTATTGATGAAGTCATCAGGAATAGCAAAGAAAACAGTCATGCATGCCACTCAGAGTTCATCCATATTCTTTGGTTTTGTCTTTCATGCTTCCTCTTTCATCCTACCCCACATATACTCAATGATGTCCTTGTCTGGTGACTGGGCTGGCCAATGCTGGAGCATCTTGATCTTCTTCGCCTTAAGGAACTTTGATGTGGAGATGGAAGGATGCGATGGAGCACCATCCTGCTGCAGAATTTGGCCTTTTTTATGATTGGAAATAAAAGAGGTAACTAAGATTTCTTGGTATTTTAGACTATTGATGTTGCCTTCCACTCTGCAGATCCCTCGCATACCCCCATACTGGATGGAAGCCCAGACCATGATTTTGCCTCCACCCAGCTTCACTGTAAATCTCAGCTTCATACGGGTTTCAGTAGGTCTCCTGCAATATTTGTGGCAACTGTGGCGTAATTCAACAAAAGATTCATCTGAAAAATCCACCTTCTGCCACTTTTCCAGCATCCATCCTTTAAGCAGGCTGTGGGACTTGGCAATTGCCACACAGATTTTCAATTGTCTTTTGTTTAGTGCTGGCTTATGGACACTGATTTGACCATGGAGGCCATTTTGAGACAGAATACAACAAAATGTTCTGGTTGACACAGGGGTTTCAGGTGACCAGGTCTCCTCTGCTGCAGTTGAAAATGGGCTTGCCTTGGATTTTCGAGCCAACAAACGGTCCTCTCGAGGAGTTGTCATGCGGGGTCTGCCTGACCTGGGCTTGTCAACAACTTCTCTAGTCTCTTCAGACCTTTTCTTTATCCTCCAAATTTGACACAGACACATTGAAGGTGTGTGCCACATCAGCAGTGGATTTGGTCTTCAGTCTCTTGATAATATGGTGAATGGTAAATAGCTTGTGTTTGATATAGCGCCTTCTAGAGTCCTGGAACCTCTGAAGGTGCTTTACAACACAATCAGTCTTTCACCCATTCACACACTGGTGGGGATGAGCTACGATGTAGCCACAGCTACCCTGGGGCACATTGACAGAGGCGAGGCTGCCGAGCACTGGCGCCACCAGCCCCTCCGACCACCAACAGCAGGCAAGTTGGGTTAAGTGTCTTGCCCAAGGACACAAGGATAGCGACAGACTGAGCGGGGCTCGAACCTGCAACCTTCCGATAACAAGGCGAGCACTTAACTCCTGTGCCACTGTCGCCCACTCAACATTTTAGTCTCAGGGTGAATTTTAGGCATGTTTGCAGAGGTCTAGTTGCAGTTGATGTGAAGGTCTAGTGTACTGAGGTTTTTTTTATACACACCTGACACCTAATTGATCCATTATTAGTCACAGGGTGAAGCTCATATGACAAGGCAACAACACTTATGTCATCGCAAAAATAGACTGGGATCCTCTTTCCCCAGCGAGAGCAGCCCTATGGCGCTCAGCCACTGTAGCCACAGGTGGGAGGGAGATCTTGGGAGGAGCGCAGAGCACATTGACATCTGCAGGTTGATGACCTCGCCAGGCTGAAGTCCACCAATCCGAAGGCAGGGGGCGTAGGTCGGGTTTTCACAGCATCTGTCTGCATTTCTTCGTGGGGGTTTGTTGTTGGCATTCACAAGGCTGCCATGGCGTCAGATTCGGATAACAAGACTTTGTTTGGGTCAGGCAGAGATAATTTTCCTCTCTGCCTTGAAGTCTGTAACTGATCATTCAAGTCCTCCAGTGAAGCCAATTCAGGTTTTAAACATCTCCACACCGTCCAGTGACCCTCTCCGAGATGACATCCATTTTGCGCACTAATACTGGTATCGTAGCTAGAACATTGTCCAGCTTACGATTCACCTCGATTAACGTCCCAGTCTGTGAAGTCTCCACACGGACGGTGCTTTCCGTGGGTGCGGGTCGCCCTCCGATCGCTCCCGTCTTCCCAAATTTCCAGAAAATCAGATATCCTCCCACTCCAATCAGAAGAAATCCAGTGATCATCAGGCCAAATATCCACACATCTTCGACATCCTCAATGGACAGCTGAGAGAGGCATACGATCTTCCACTCCCTCCAGGAATCGAGCATATATCCCGCTGTGTGTGTCCCTTGCGGGCAAGTGGGAGCCCCCTCCTCCGTTCTCATCGTAGAAAAAATCTTGTCAATTGCGTTGAATGACCAATTAATTAAATCCATTCTAAAAATTAGGGTGTTTCAGAAGAAATGCAGAGAAGCGCTCTGTGGGCAGACAGGACAAAGAGCCTTCGGAAAAAAAGATAAGGGAGCAAAAGCAGAAGTGTCTGTACTCTGCGAGTGCCGGAAGAAGAGCTACATCTACGCCACATTTGAAATATAGATATAAATCTATATTTATTGTTATAACAAGCAACAAGACTTTTGTCAGGAACTATATATATATATATATATATATAAACAAAATAATTTAGCTGACTGTTCTAGAGATGATTTCACAGTTGGAGTGTCTGTCGGAAAGCTGACTTTATGCAAAAAATAAAGTGTTCCAAAGTCCAGGTAAATTCAGCAAAGCAAAGGTCTTAACCCGATCTTTACTTGTTCAATCTGGATTCAGACCAATTTGTTTCCCTAATCTTGACTTTTCCTGTGTTAGCATTGCGATCGGGCTGAATCATCCTTTGGACCACTCTGTACAGAGAAATATCTGGAGTTGTAAATTATACCTTAACGCTGTTGAAAAACTCAGATTTTTTTTATGTTGAGGAAATTATTTAAATAAGGCTAAAGTCAATATGTTTAGGGAGTTTTCATCCTTCACTTGTTTTCCTTTGATTAGAATGAGGTAATATGATTTTCTTACTGCTTTTTGCAACTTAGACAAACCCTGCAAAGCGTGAAAGTTTGGGTAGATTTTAACGAGTGAGCAATGTTGCCTTAAGTAGGTCCTCTTTTTTTTTACCTTCAATTTTTATGATTTTTTTTTTCTTTAAGGACTCATGGGAAGACATGTCTCAGATTATTTGTCATATTATTTTAGCTACCAATGCATGAAGAGAGATGGAGACATAGCCTCCAGGACTACAGCCGGCGGTAAACCCAGAGGGGGAAAAGATTCTCCCTCCATTTTCAGTCCAGATACAGTAAATCTCTGAAATACCAATACTGCATCACACTGCACAAAATATTATTGTTCCCTTTGATGGATAACATTTACATGCTAATTCACATTTCATTCCACGAGTCTTTGTTTACAATATAAATCTGATTAAGTGCAGCCATCACAGCACAAGATGGATCGATACCCAATATGGCCAGCACAGCTGCTTACCTCACAAGGACGCCATTCCTGGCTAATATTTGGATGCGTGACCAGTATTCTGTGGAGGATAGGGCAAGAAGAGTTAAAACATGGTCTCAGGGGACAATGTGTCTTTTACAAGATTTATCTTTCTTTTTTTTTTTTTCAAAATTTCTCTCAAAACTAAGTTCATGGAGTTTTCATCTTGACATTTTCAGCACTACCGAATGAATGCTAATTAGTAGTCAATTTTTATGACTTTGACCTTCTTCAATAAATGCATATTTTTAATGAAAA